GAGCCAGAAGTGTCAGAGAGGCTGGAGCAAAAGGAAGCTTCAGAGAGGGCGGAGCAAAAAGCTTCAGAGAGGGCGGAGCCAGAAGCTTCAGAGAGGGCGGAGCAAAAAGCTTCAGAGAGGGCGGAGCCAGAAGCTTCAGAGAGGGCGGAGCCAGAAGTGTCAGAGAGGGTGAAGTCAAAGGCCGTTTCAGAGAGGCTGGAGCAAAAGGAAGCTTCGGAGAGGGCGGAGTCACAGGTTTGCAGAAGAGTGGGTTCAGACAGCGAAAGTTACCGAGAGCTCAGAGAGCAAATATCCTACCTCAGGTAAAGACACACAGGAGGGAGAGCCAGTTTTACATCACCCGACAGAAGTTTTAAAAGGAGCCCTGACCATGAATATACATATACAGCTTCCTGTAGTAACACCAGCTCAGCTATTTTAAGCTCGCTTTAACGGTTTAGAGACAAAATGGCAAATTTAGGAGAAAAAAGTTAGAAAAATTTTGAAGTCTCGGCTTGAAAGAGGGCGGTGAGAGAAGCGTGAACGTGATGTAACTGAGGATGTTACTCAAACTGCCAACACGAAGGCAGTCGCAGCTACGGAGGCGAGAGGATCTGTGTATGCATTTAACTCTGGCCCCGCCCACTTCGCATCACCAGCAGTTGTTTCGTCCGTCACAGCCGAAGTTGTTAAATGTCATTGTCCTTTAAGACCGAGTTCATGCTCGCCGAGTTCATCGCTCCTGAAGCAGCACTCCTGCAGCGCCTTGAGGCGACTGTTGTTGGGATTTGGAGCTTTATAAATAAAACAGATTTTATTTACAGCAAGTGTGGCACACCTAAACGGGGGCGGTGATGGCGCCTGACAGAAACTAGACCTAAAACTGTTATTTTATAATGAAGCATCTTCTGCTAACGCCCGTCTCACAAGAATTCACCGACTTTGTTATCAGGTCGGTTTCATGTTCACGTGTAAACACAGAGGAAACACTAGTGGGCGATGCAGTTTGTGCATTTCTGGCCACTTCTTCTTCTGACATCATTTTCTGAACTGCCTGGAAGAGAATGATTCAACTTGCAGAGAGAAACTCGCTAAACGCGCTGAATCAGGGCTCCTTTTAGTCTTTCAAAACTTGTCAGGAGTTTTATTCACCTGGGTCACTTTAGTCGTTGTGCTTTCATGATGGCGCCCTCGTGTCCAGGAAGCGTGTGCAGTGGCTGGAGGAGGACGTGAAGCAGCTGCGGGTGAAGCAGACTCAGTGTGAGGAGAAAGCGGCAGACCAACAGCTACAACGTCAGGTCAGGCAGGAAGTGCTGAAGCTCAGGAGGCAAACTGGCGCCACCTACAGGGAGGGAACGGAACAGCAGCACACGTGTAAATGGCGAAGTCATAATTTAGGAATTTTGTTATGCTCGGCACATTTGGAAAAAACAATCAAAAAAATCTCAGAAAAGTTTGTTTTGGTCGAGGAGCCGCGTCGCTTTAGTTTTCAGTGTCAGGTGTTTACCTGTAGGTGGCGTCTGTTTCCTGAATGTCATGCAGGAGACATCATGTAGATTTCCACACTGTAAAAAAACTCCAATGACATTGTGAGTCAGACAAAGCACGAGCAGAGGAAACAGACTCTAAGACATGGACAAAACAAAGCTTACAGTCAAAGATGCCCTGCTGTTTCAGGCGACATGCATCAGTCTAATCTCAGTTCTTTGCCCTCCGACCTCAGCTGGACGACCTGCGGGGAACGCTGGAGGACACAATCTTGTCCTTCACATCTCAGCTGTCCACGGGTCTATGCGATGAGGCCGCGCAGGCGCAGAGCGGTGGTCCGAGCGTCCGTCAGAGCGAAGCGTGGTCGGCTCTGAATGCCAGAACAACAAACATGGGGGAGAA